ATGTGGAGGTAAATTCATGAATAGACGTATATGCGAATACACTTGGACGCACCTCTCTTGGAATAACTAAGCCTTCCGTCGATGGGTACGACGGCCATTGTCCCTCGGTCAACACCACCACCTCCAGATCAACCGATGCATGCCTGTCACGAGTCTGCATAGAGATAAACATAATGGTGTGCGTTATAAGAAATGCATTATTACTAGCGAAATGTAGGGGCATGCTACATTTGGGTACTGATTGACGATGTTCATAGTCTCGCTGTAGACCACGGTATTGCTATGGTGCGGTGATTTGATGACGTATACGTATATATGCACTTATTGGCGTGTGGAGGATGTATGTTCATATTCACATGCTGTACTGACCTCGTTGTACGCCTGCATGATATCCTTGGACACATCGATGTCCTTGAACATGCCCTCCAGATTCTGGGTGAACCGTGGGCCACACTCCTGCTTGAGCTTTGTCAACATGGACCGTTCAGCGTCAACCGAAGCACTGCGTTGTACCAGCAACCGCCGCGCCAGGTCTTTCTTATAGAAGGCCTCGAATACGTCTTTACCCTGCAATGTGTACATAATTAAATTGCTAAACGTTTTTAGCCTGCAATGTGCCCGTAATTAAATTGCTAAACGTTTTTAGCCTGCAATGTGCACATAAATAAATTGTTAAACGTCTTTAGCCTGCAATGTGTACGACTACTCTCTGCAATGTGTACATCTTTAAACTACTAAAACGACTTCTCTCTGCAATGTGTTCGTATTCAAATTACCAAACGACATTTCTCTGCAATGTGTACGTATTTAAAATACCAAACGACTTCTCTCTGCAATGTGTAACTAATGATATAACTAAAACGTTTGTACCCTGCAAAATGTAAATGTATCAACCCACGTACATATGCAGCACTAACATGCATAAACCACTAACATCCTCAACAACCCTCGTATCTACCAGTCACGTACATATGCAGCACTGCTCATGCAAAGCCACTAACATCCTCAACAACCCTCGTATCTACCAGTCACGTACATATGCAGCAATAACATGCACAAGCCACTAACATCCTCAACAACCCTCGTATCTACCAGTCACGTACATATGCAGCACTAACATGCACAAGCCACTAGCATCCTCAACAACCCTCGTATCTACCAGTCACGTACATATGCAGCACTAACATGCA